ACAGGGAGAAATTTCTATAAACTTTCTAAGGTTTCTTTATATATTGTTGGGAAATTATGGTCTCCACTTGTTTATGCGAACTTGAATAATAACATGAATATTTATAGAGGTATTATACTTGCGACTTTCAAAAATCTTCTTCATTAAACAGCATGCATATTAGAATTTGATCATATTATCTGAACTGATCCTAAACAACTCTATAATATGAAGGCAAGTTATTATGACTATTGAATCCCTGAAGATTTCAACATGATCAATTTGTGAGTTTGAATTCCCCCTCCCTTCTGTTTTAACTAAATAGATAGACTTGATCTATCTCTATTCTACAAATTGAAATAGATACTAGTTATAAGAAATAACTTATTTATTCATTTTAGATGTAATACAAATATTTCTTCTTCTGACGTAATTATGAAATGGGAGAAACTGAAGTTTCCAATTTAGATGACACCTTGATATTTATAAGTTGCCAAATTTATTTGATTCCACCATTTTGGAATTTATGTAAAGAGCATGTTTAGTAGGTAAAATGTTAAAAGAGAGTAAAAAGAGCATATAAATAATAAACTTTTCTGCAATCTGATATTTCTGTCAATGTGTGCAGGTTTTTACCTCAATTTTACACAAAAAACACAGGATTTCTCAAGTACTGATATTTTATAGTAAAATAAATAGATATAATTGATGTATATTTTGGTAGTTTGACTGTGGCATTACTTGCCACTCACCAGTAGTTCACACTAAAGTTCACTGTTGTATTGGTAGGTATTTATAATTCAGCTTTTTTATCAGTACAGAGAGATGAGATCTGAAGGTGAAATATCTCTCAGTTGTGGTCCTTTTCAACCCAAAATTGTTCTGTTCAGATTCAAGAAAGATTTTTGAATGGTTATATACAGTTAATGTACACTGTATAATTCTACTATTCAATTATGTTCTCTTCGGCAAAAGTGGATTATGAATTTAATATAAAATATTTCCAAATTTCATACTTCTTTTCTGCATTTCATAAAAACAGTATAAATTTACTGTTAAGTCTAGATAAATATGTAGAAATGAAATAAAAGAAGTTGAACTATTGTACAGTTAAATGTTAAACTGTACAAGTTATTGAAAGAATCCTGCTAAGATGATGAAGATAAGAACATAGTTCAGCTGTTTAAAGATTCTAGTTTGATTGTAAACTACATTACACCTGTGTCTGTGTGTGTATTTGGGTATCTTTAACGTTATTATGTAACCATATTATACCAACACACTGTAACAGTAAGCTTTCTCCTACTACTACTCTACCTTGTGTTATGAAATCAGCAACACTTCTCTGACAGCTTCTATTCTTTTGATTGACAGTTCTTTGTTAGAAAGTTGTAATATGGTATTTGTAGACTACTGGTATAGTAAGCCAGTAAAAACTATATACTACCATGTAAATACTCTTAGTGCACAGGGTCACTGTTATTTTATAATAAAATAATCACCCCTCTACAGATGAATAATTGGCTTTTGTGAGTAATTTTTGAGAAAGAAGTAGTCGTTTCTTCAGTTTAGCTTCATCTATTATCTGTGGAATTAATGTCATTTTTTAGCCTTCTCCCAGGAATTCTAGTCTGCCGATGCCTTTATATTATTTGGGAGAAATAATTAAACTTGTATTAGGATAAAATAAGTTTTTTATGAGAAATGTTAAAGGTGAAATTAAGCAGGGATCTCCAGGGTTGGTCATATCATTAGTTATATAAAAAACCAGTAGATAATCAACTACATGTCAAGAATTGTAATGAGATTTTTAAACAGAGATGAAAACTGTTTGAAATATTATGTAAGTTGACACTGAAGAAGAATTTGATAAAAATATAAATCACCAGTGGGGAAACTGAACATTTCAACACATCTTATAACTAGATTTTAATTAGCTTATTTTTATTACTAAAGTATATTTTATGCAGATACTGTGCGTTTTATTTTTCCATACAGTGCCCTAACACATGCGTTCAGTAATAAAATGAAGGTGTTAATCACATTGACTACTAGGTAGTTTACTGACCTTTTCACAGCAACTTCAATCACCCCAACACTTGAACACTCTAACCAACACAAGCATTCAATTTGATGACTTTACCATTCATGCTGTCTTAGGCCAGATCCAGTAATATTTGTTTAACAGACTAGAGTTGTTGACTAGTATACTTGTGATAGTAAAATAAGTATAGTTGATAGAAGAAACAGAGAGTTAACTACATGGAAGTCATTGACAATATCATGGAACTTGGTCAGTAAATTTATATGAAGCATTAAAGAATAGTGAAACATAGGATATTAAATTCCATTCTATTTTATCATGTTATAGAAATTTTTCTTATGTAGATTAAAAGTTAAAGATCTAAAGTTATAATTTTCTATATTCAAAACTCATTCATGTTATCTGTATGTTGAACCAAAATAAAATACAGTGATATTTAGGATAACCTTTAGAACTTATCAAATATTGTATAGATTAGTTTGATGCCTCGGGTGAAATCACTTCTACTGTCTTGTATTAAGTAGTTACAGAGACAAATCTGACTTTTTCAAAATAACCCCAAGGTTATCACTTCACCTTATTCTTTAGTTGACTTGTATAACCCCCTTCTTAAAGCCTAAAGACTGGAAAATAACTCTACAAATAGACAAGTGTGAAACATTAATGGTTTGAGTCAATAGACTGGATAATCTTTTCATCTTTAATGTTGAGCTTTAAAAAACATGTGTGCTAAAAGACTAGTTGATCAGATATACTGACTCGCTCGAGCTTTTAAAATTAGAGGTGGAGATACTATCATTAGCTGAACAGATAGATATACATATATATGGACTGGTTAATCCAAGCATGAAAACTAAATAAATCCCGGGAGGTTGTATGAAAAAGACTGGTAAACTGTGATGATAGACAAGTGGAGAGAAAAAACAGGAGTTACTGTAAACAAAATGAAGATATTAAAAACGATTGTAGTAGGTGGTCTGGTCTCTACTATAAAATCTTTAAACCCCTTCCAGTCTTTGGAAAAATTAAATATCACCAATAATCTAACATTTAATAACTTAGCCAATGTTTATACAAGAATCTCTAATATTCTTAGCCTCAATTTTAAATTGCACCCTGTTTTATTTTTGTATCTGCACAGCAGTTCTTTACTTTACTGGAATTTATTTATTCTTTAACTAATTAAATAAATAATTGAAAGGCTAATTAAAGACAGATTGATGAAGTTTGGAACCCACTGTAGACTAAACCAGTATTAATTAAAAACTACTGTTATTCTCCTTAATTTACTCCAATTTTCTTCTGAAGTCAGTTTAAAAGATGGTTGTGAAATGTGAAAATTGCGGTAAATAAATGTGATTTCCCAGTAGTATTAAGAAGGTTGGATTAAACATGGTAAAAGATTGCAGGTTGTAATTACTATAATGTGATTAAGTTTGATTGTTGATGAAGGGAATGATAAGAAATAGATGGTCAGTGGAACCATAGTGCACCCTGTATCAAGCTAATTAAGGCTGTGGAACTAGCTCAGTGGTATTTAGTTGGCTGTATCGTGTTGCCTGATTGGACATTAACTGTCAGTAATGAGAAGTCAACTCATAATTTCTTCACAAATCTGTGTGAAGTCACAGCTTTAATGTCTACTTCATCAAATTACTCACAAGTGACTTGAAAACTTCAGCTTTTCTATTTGTTGTGTTGAATATACTTTATATGAAGATAAGATGGAATTATTTTCTAAAAGATGTGTTTTTATTAGGTCAGGTTTGTGATCACATCTTGATTAGTCTTTTTTATGTCATGGTAGGTTATAGTTGCTACAGGTTGAGAGTGTCAGAATACAGGTTGTAATAGGCCTATATTACATGGAAATATTAAATGAGAATGAACCGGAATCTGTCTAAATGGTAAAAGATAATCTAGCTCTATACAGTAATTATAAAACAAGAATACTATCAAAGCTAAGTCTGAATTGGGAATTGTTTTCATTAAATTGTCAAATAAAGTTTTTTTTTTGGTCTAATCATAGATAATTTCTCATCTCTTTAAATACCATTTTTAGTCAACCTTATTTTCCTGTTTACATCATCCTCTAATGCTTTTGGGATTATTAAAATAATTATGATAATTATACTTTTCAAACATTTCTTGCCTCAGTAATTTAGCTTTATGTTTTTTGATGTAGTCTTGCTAAGCTTAAATATGTAATTATTTTGCCAATAAAGTGTCGTGCATTATTAGAATATTTTCTGTTATTACTCACAATTTTCAGATTAGATTTGTCAGTAATTAGTTTTTCATGTTGTTTTTATGGCCATCTTCAAACTGCTTCTTTTTTCTTATTTCAATTAAATGTCTTGACTTTATGGCAACTATAACAATATTTCAACATTATTAAATCTATTTTAATATCATTCATTACAAAGTTTAACGAATACAATTCAAAACTTAATGTATATTTCTGTCTTCTATATTTCAGATGACTTATTTCATCTACAAGTAGAATGGCTGTTCGAGAAAGATTGAAAACAAGATGGACATATCGTCCTTAAAATCTGATGGTGAATCTCAATGTTCTCAAATGATCCCGTTAGTATCAACAAATTCAATGGGAGATCAACAAGTATCTGATATTGAAGGCGTAGATAGCAGACAGTTTCATACACCATCATCCAAAATGGCTGCCACAATTAATGATACTAGTAGTAAAAATTATCTAGATTATCACAATAACTTACTTCTTGGAAGTCGTGATCTTAATTTAACTAATCAACTTTTTTCTACTTCCAACAATAATAATAGTTCCCAGGACTGTCTAGCACAGAAATCTAACGGTACGATGGAGGATTCCAATTCAGACCAAGATGAACCTGTAGATTGTGATAATTGTGAAAGAGAATTCTCCAATTTACAACAATTTATGGATCATCAATGTCAACCCAAAGAGAAGCAAGTGAATAATATAAAAAATGAAAGTGATTATAGTGATGCTGAAAGTTTCAATGGTAAAATTGTTTACAATCCTGATGGTTCAGCTTATATAATAGAAGAAAGTGAATCGAGTGACAATGATTCCCTTGATATACCTCAACAAGATGGGGCCATAGTGGATGATAAAGGAACTCTCATCTCATCTTCACCTGCTGTGTTTCCACAAATAGCAAATGCTTTCTTTGTGCCAAGAAATCCTGGTTCTCTCCTCGATTCCCAGTCTACCCTGTTTCCTAGGAAACAACAAACTCCTATCATGCACAGTTACCGTGTATACGATGTACGCACTAAAGACAATAATAATGACACTAAAAGTGAATCTGAGTATGAAAATGGACCCACTGTACCGACTAAACCTATATTAATGTGTTTTATCTGTCGACTGTCTTTTGGACAAGTGAAATCTTTTCATTCGCATGCTGCTAATGAACATGTCATGAAACTCTCTGAAAAGGAGGTTAAAATTCTGAACAGTAAAAATTCTTCAGCTATAATCCAAGGTGTAGGTAAAGACAAACATCCATTAATGTCTTTCCTGGAGCCAGTTTCTCCCAACACTGATAATGTGGTATCAACTAAGTCTTCTAGTGTTAAACCAAAGTCAATCTCAGAATCATTTCCAACATCTTTAAACTCTTCAATGTTTAAAGACAATCTTCAGTATTCCAATTTGTGGGGTTTAAATGGACCTAAAACATGTGTTGATATGCGTTGTGATGAAGACAATAACAATATTCCTGATGATTCTGAGAGTGAAGATGAATGTGACTTTAATTCTCGACTTGTCATAAATACATCAGCAGCTTCTCCAGCTAACACTAATTCACTATCGATCAACAGCATTATGGAGAGGAAAGGATCTCCTAAATCATCATCCGAAACACCACTTCATTCAAGTCCTTTACCACTACCACAACCTAGTTTTCTTGGTATGTGTGATGAGCATCCTCAAGGGCGGCTTCAAGGTGTTGAATGCCCAAAATGTGACATTGTTCTTAGTTCTTCCCAGTCTCTAGGTGGTCATATGACAATGATGCATTCTAGAAACTCTTGTAAAACATTGAAATGTCCTAAGTGTAACTGGCATTATAAATACCAAGAAACATTAGATATCCATATGAAGGAGAAACATCCAGAAAATGATGCACAGTGTATTTATTGTTTGAGTAACCAGTCACATCCAAGGTTAGCTCGAGGCGAGACCTATTCCTGTGGTTATAAACCATACAGATGTGAAGTTTGTAACTACTCCACTACCACCAAAGGTAATCTCAGTATTCACATGCAATCTGATAAGCACATTAATAACATGCAGGATCTGGCTAATGGCAGCACTGAGATGAAAATGCCACCTGCAGCACCACCGACTCCAACTACATCAGCTACAACAGCAACTGTTCCCCCATCATTTCCACAAGACGAGTCTCAAATGAAGAAATTACAGAAACCAAAACAAACATGGAGATGTGATGTTTGTAATTATGAAACAACAGTGGCTAGAAATTTAAGAATTCACATGACTAGTGAGAAACACACCCACAATATGATGGTGCTTCAACAAAACATGAAACACATGCAGCAGGATATGCATATGCAAATGAATCAGTTAATGATGTTAGGGCAGCAAGATCCTATGTTTACTAGTTTACCTACAACAATGGGTGGTGGAATGTTCCCCTATGATCAATCTATGATGCTTGCTGCTGGTATGCCTCCAGGATTTGAACTTCCAGTTAACCTTACCAAAGAAAATGGCAATCCAATGGAAATAGATGAAATTCCAGATGCAGCTAAACTCTTTCACTGTTGTGTATGTAACAATTTTACTACTGATTCTTTAGAAGCATTACATCAACATTTACAGCTTGATAGAACCAAACAACAAGAGAATGAACATGTAACAGTAGCAGGAGGTACTTATCTCTGTAATCTCTGTCAGTATAAAACTAATTTAAAGGCCAACTTCCAGTTACACAGTAAAACTGATAAGCATATACAACGTTTACAATTAGTTAATCACATTAAAGAAGGTGGAGTTGGTAATGAATGGAGATTGAAATATCTTAATGTTAGTAACCCAATACAGGTTCGCTGTAATTCTTGTGACTATTACACTAACAGTATTCACAAACTTAACGTCCATACCACAAACTTACAACATGAATCTAGTGCTCAACTCTTCCGTCACATACAATATGAGGAGGCAAAGCTCAACAGTAGTTCCAAATATTACCACTGTGCCATATGTCAGTACTCTACCAAAGTTAAACTGAATCTAATCCACCATGTTCAGTCAGTACAGCATTTACAGAATGATGCAGCTTATAAAAACAGAGCTAAAGAAGATGGTGGCCAAACTTTAGATGTTGACCAGATATTTCAAGTTCGTCAGTTGAAAGATGATGATGATGTAGATTTTGATGAAGATGGTAAGTACATTCCTACAATTTTATTCTGGCCACCTTTTCTCTTCATCCTCTACTGCCCATGCAGTGTTTGTCCGCAGCTATTACTAAGCAAAGTTTATCTTCAATGAAGAGTATTGGAGACAAGTTTCAAACTAACAACTAAAGGTCACACACAGGAACATGAAAATGTTCTCCAGACATAAGCCAGCTTTTAGAATTTGCAAAATTTAATAACTGCCTTCATGATATATTTCATTACAGTCAGTATATTTCATAATAAATTAAAATATACGATGAACAAATTCTCTTGTAATTATAATTTGCAACAGCATAATTCAAATTGTATTAAGCATTCACTTAATGTTTTAAAATTAGACTTTCCCATTTTGGAAAATAATAAATAAATTTTCATGGGCGTTATTTTGGTACATATATAGTTATTAGATCAAAATTATTTAGATATTAGTCTTCAAACATTTCAACACTTCACTATGTATTTAAAAAAGATGTTTAGCAAATTATATTTTAAAATTTGAATTAAAGTAGGCTATTAGGAAAATTTGACTCTATTATTCAATTAAACTGCACAAAAAGTGAAAATTTTAACACTTAAAAATGTAAATATGATAATTATTTATATTAAGATGAATTTGAAGATAAAAAAAGTACTTATACAACATCAGGTGTACCCTTTTATTTCTACAAGTTATTGAAGAAAATTTGCTCCAATTACATATAGTATATGCAAATGTTTTAATATAAAGGCTTTTGTAAGTTTTTTTTTAATTGGAAAGATACTTGAGCATTGACAAGACTAGAGAAAAAAATGTGATGAATATGTGATGGGTGTATATAGGAGACTTTATTGTTTTCATGAACAAAAACTGTTGACTAGAGGCACTCTTGAATATAATTTTCTTCTAGCAGATTTAAATCTTCAATCTAGGAAATTGTTGATTAGTGCTTGAGGCAATTCATTGAGTTAAAAAACCTGTAGAACAACTTATTATTTTTCTACTGATTGAAGTTTATTTTGCTCTCTCAACCAGAACTATATATTCATATCTGTCAATAGAAATTAGAAAACTTTTGTTATTATATATCTAAACAACAATACTTGAGCAAAACTTTCGCCTTTTTTATTTACTCTTCATCATTTTCTGATAAAAAATTGTTTGAGTAGTTCAAAGTTGAATAGATATAGGTTTAAATTCATCAAGATCAGACATTTTGATTTTAATTTGAGTAGACAAGACATATAGGTAAGATTAGATTATTTTATTCATTGTCGGTTTGAAAACACAATCTATATTCAAGTAGGACCATTTTGTAACTCCCCACTATGACCACATGATTTTCATTCTAATAAAACAAATAAAACAATATTAGGGAAGAAAAAAAGGCTAAAGATCAAATGCTTACATTTTTTAACTATATCTTGGGACATTTCCATTCAAAAAAATGTGTCACTTAATTTTGAATTCCAAATATGCCTATTTTTAAGATTTAACCATATTATTTATATGATTATTCATTTAAAACATAGCACTGCTCAATTTGAAATGACATAGTTTTTAATACTTTGACTGTCCAACTAAGTTTAAGTTAAGATGTTTGTATGATTGTTTTTTTTGTGGCCAAAGGGGTAATGTTTATGATTCAAGGTACATATCTATCTATGATACCTCTTGTCTACCTCTCATTAATATTTGATTGATTATCAAAATTAACTCATCAATGTTGACATATCAATCATTAGCTTAATTATTGACATCCAAATACTGGTCTCTCAAAAACAACAGACTACTGTAAACTTATCCTTAAAGATGTTCAGGGTGTCCTTAAAATATACTTTTCACTCTACTATTATGATTAGAATTTTATACAGATATGTTGGCAATATTTATACTCAAAAATATTTTACAGAACTCATGAAACTTAAATATTGAAACACTTCTGTCAAAAAGTCAATCTCTTCTCATAAATGTATTAAGATCTGTCAAGATTTTCAAAGAAACTAATTTCCATGTGTTATAAATAAATGGTGATGTTAAAATAAATTTAGATTACTACTGTGATAATCTTTACAATGTTAACATAAAAAAATATTTATTGAGCAGTCCAGCAACAAGACATATTGATGGATTTAACAAATACTTTTTCTGTTAAGGTGTCAATTACCTGAGGCAACCAACAAAGACAGTTTACTTGTTTACACCTTCTGTTATAACACACAATGTGTTCAACTCACTACCTTATTTGTTAGAGTAAACTTTCAACGCTTAACACTCACCCTTTCAGCCCATCTTTCTATGTAGCCAAGTTGATTTTCTCAGATTTTACCTTTAATCTTCCTTCCCACCTATTTTCTAACATTTTAAAAGAATTTTAACAACTTTGCTGATTTGTTCTTTGTGTCCTGTATTATAAATCCTAATGTAAAAGTTTTGGCAAAAAAACAAAGCACATTTTGCCAGTAGCCTGTAATTAATTGATAAAAGAGCAAAGGAAAAATAATTAAAACAATTCAATTGTAAAGGTTATAAAATGTGTAAAGTATAATCAAGATTTATGTGTAATTTTGATAGCTTCATACAAACCTGCATCAAAATGTAGACATTAAAAAAGTTTTGGTCGTCTCCCAACTTTTACCTGATAAATAAAAAATAAAAGTCAAATTACAGAATTCTATTTTATTACATACGATGTTTGGTTTTAATGTCAGTACCTGATCTTATGATACCTATCAAGTTATATTACCTACCAAGTTGTTAAATCTAACATTACCTATGTAATCAGTCATGTCTTCCAAAAGCACAGTCCAAGATCTGGTTTGATTTCAATTCTAACCACCCAACCACACTAACCTAACCAATCCATCTACCCACAAGTTAAAAATAAGAACTTTGAGTTCTTCTGAGTATTAAAATACTTATTTTTTATTAGCTTAAATATGGCCACTTCAGTTAGGGTCTAAAGACTGGCCTCTTAAACATTCGTCACAATAAACTTTTGACCTAATCTAATGGCCTCTGCTTTAACCAATCATATACATTCAACCTCTTATGAAACAGAATTGATGAATTTTGTGTAATGTAAAAGGCTGAGCGTTCTGACAACCGTTCCACCTCAGTGAGGTACATTTAACTTCTTCAAGAAGAGTTCCACAGATAACCATGCTGAGAACTGAAAAACTGTTCTTAGACCACATTAGTTTACTGTAATGTAAATGGACACGTTTTATCAAAGCCTGGTTCAGACTGAGAACGGAACGCTTTATAGCGGCCTTGTGTAAAAGGGGTCAAAGTTTGAGTTCACCAGAGTCTTGATTTCATCTGGCTTGAAACTGATATTAGCAAGGTTTAAATTTCAATATAAAGAAGTAAATAGTGAGAGTATGTTGATATATTTGTAACTATTAAGACTAAGGATTAAACAGTAAAACAATAGATTGAGAGTTGGACTCAGTTTCAATCAATATTGACTCACTATTAAAAATGTTTAACAAGATGAAAGATAAAATGTTGTGTTATAAAAGGGAGTTGTTGAGATGTAAAATTAGTAGAATATAATGAATTCATGAAATTATGAGTAAACAATCATTTCTGGTAAATATTCTTAACATTATGATTTCTGTTGGTTTTAAACACAGAGTTTGTCCTGGGATATAAATATAGGAGATTTTTGTTGACTTGGCTTTCTTGTGAACCTTGGGTGAAATTTGTTAAAACTTGAAGTCGTTTTAACCTGTAAAGACAATCAGAGTGTTTGAATATGATTGTACGATTTAGAAAGTAGCCAAAACCCCTCCCCATGTCTAAATAGGATTATTTTAACTAGATACTTTTAGAACAAAAACACTAGATATATAAACTCGAACTGGATAGGCCAGAAATGATATTTTCTTCATTGTAAGACTATCTTCTGTTTACAAAATATCAAAAAGCTTTGTGTCAAATTTCTTAAATCAATTTAGTTGAATACTGAAGACCTCATTATTAAGCAAACTATCATTTCTTTCAAAAAAGGTCATCCCTTTTTCTTAAGTGAATACCCGTTGCTACAGGCGACAAAGATTTGCTTTGTTTAATATAATACGGTGATATGTTTCACCAAATGATTTCACTGGGCTCAATTTTTTTACCTATTCATATTCTAATCCAGGCTACTTAGTAGATAGCACATTTATAAGTTTATTCGGGATGAATTGGCCATTTTATGAGTCACACTCTTTGATTTGTACACCTTCTTCTTAGCACAAGAGACAATTCACCTTTATGAATATTTGTGAGAACAAATTACTTTACTTTCTTAAGCTGTCTGATAGAAATAAATAGGAATATTTAGTGAGAGTTATTGTGAAACAACAGCAAGCAGGGTAATTGAATTTACATTGGTAGGCCTGTGACCTCAACCATGTCTTAACAATGGCTATTTGAGAGAGAACGACAGTTACTGTGTGTCTTTGAGGTGTGTCTCAATGAGCCTCTACTGTAAGAAAAATTAAAATAAGAAAGTCATATGAATGTGGTAATGAGGTATGCAAGGCCCGGTTGTCAGTAATGAGCTAGCTAATAGCGGTAAGATGTTATTGGATTGTTTTATGATATGTGTAGTTATATTATATATATAATAGTTGTGTTGGATTAATCGTTCAGATAGCACGAAGGTTATTACACAAGAACTTAGGTAATGATATTTATTCTTAATAATAATCTTTTTTCTCTTGGATTATGTTAGGTGAAGACGTTGATTAATAGAAAATATCGTATATATGTATACATTCCTACAGTGTGAATGGAGTGACTCGTTACAATATGTATAGCTATAGGTTAAGTCTGTGAGGTATTATCGTCTTGTCGGCATGTCTAGCCACTCGTACACCTTACAGCTATTCAAAGTACCTCTCTGACCTAGTTATTGATCTAAATGTAGGATATGGGAGATCGATGGCATGGAGTAGTCTGCATGCACACACGTGACAATCAGGTCATGTCTAATA